GAAGCACCAGGGATGGCGTAGCCGACCAGCCTTCCTGCTCCTCCAGAGCTGTCAGAGAGCTAAGAGGCAGCTCTGTGAAGGGCTGTCCTGGATTCTTGTAAGATCTCATCTCTATCTCCAGGAACAACTATGATCGCAGTCCAGCTGCAACCAGATCTTCCTGCATTCCTGCCGTGCTGGCCGCCTTGTGCCTGCTCCTGGCTACCTCCTGGCCTGGTGGTGTGGAGGAGGAGGAGGAGGAGTGGTAGGAGAGGGCTCTCTACAGCGAGATGAAAAGGGAATGAGGGCATGCAGGACTGCTTCCCAGGAGGTAGATAGGAGTGGGAGGGTTGAGGCGAAGGGCAGAGAGAACAGGAAGGTAGGAAGCAATGACTTGGATGACAACAGATGGGCATGAAGTGAACGGCCTCTCCCTGGCAGATGACCGCCTCGGTATTGTGAATACAGTCCACTCCTCTTCTCTATTCTAACTGCAGCCCCTTAGTCCTGTGCCTCTGTCTCTGGGGGCCCACCCAGCTCACATCTCCCAGGACTGTGCTCTCTCTCCCAACTTCTCAAGGCCCCCAGCAGGTCTATGCTGGGAAGGGAGGCTCCGTCCATGTCAAAACAGGACATGTCCCGGGCACTTGCAGACTTGACCTGGCCTTCAGGAGCTCTGTGACCCCATCAATTCATAACTGTTTAAGAGTAGGAGGGAGGGATTTTTTTTTCTATCTTTTTTTTTTAATAAAAAAGTTTTACTCCCCAGGAGCAAATAAATCACTTTGAACTACTGATCAACACTGCTGCAGTGAAAAGAAAGACGGCTACATGTGTGCGATCGCACAAATTCAGTGTAAGAGCAGCTGTGTTGACAATTAGAGATGACATCACTTATCCACCCCCCTTCTCCCACAAACCAAACCAAGGATTCCCATAGGGAAAACGTCTACCGCATCCGCTCCTCCCTCAGCGACAGGGACATGGCTTTCTCTTTAGAGTGAAAAACAAGTTCAGGTCTCAACACCCCACCCAGTGGCAAGACTCCTGCAAACAAAGACACCACATACACACACTCGTTCCCTCTGTCGAGCTGGGTCCCAGTGGCAGCAGAGCTCAAAGCTGGGAGAGAGGCAGCCGAAAAGGAGCAAACTCCTCCTCGACCCCCACTTCCCTATGGAACCAGGGGGCTTTCAAGCAAACCCTTCATGTTCTTCTGGGGGCACAGGGGAGGGCTGAAGAGGTTGCCTCCCCTCCCAACCCAGGGCATTTCTGAATTACTCTAGTCTCAGCCCCAAATGCGTCACGATGTGGACTACTGGCGTGTCTGCAGCTGTCCCTACTTCATCCCCACCTTCCTAAGTGGCTCACTGCATCCTCAGCCCAAGTGAAAAGGAGGAGAGGCGGCAGGGCAGAAGCCACAGAGACATGCTCCTCCCCCAAACCTGTCCTCCCAGCTCTCTAGGAGCAGAGTCCGGCTCACATCCCAGGGGATTACCTTCAATACATGTAGGCACAGGCAGGCACCGGGCCAAGGTCATCCCTAAACTCTCTAAGGACCATTTGTTGCCCATGCATCTAGTCCCCATCAAAACCTCCACACCCATGCTCCCCCATCACAGCACACACATTTCAAGTACTAGCAAGGTCAGCAGTAGTTGTCACTAGCTCACATTGGTCTCCACCTGTCCTGAGGAGGGTTCACAGTAGATCAATCACAAACAAGCGGGGGTGGGGTAGGGGTGGGTGGGTTTCCACTCTCTAGGCAGCCTGAGGTACTGGCATCAATGCCCACAACTTAGAAATCAATAGTGGGGTAATGGGTCTCTAGAAGGCAGAACTCTTTGCAGTTTGTGACGTTAAAACACAACCCAAAAGGGGACGTGGTCCCTCTGCAGCCTGTTGTTCCATTAGCAACGTACACGTGACAAGGGCAAAGCAAGGGCTGGGCCGGGTGGGTCTGGCAGCTGCGGTACTGGCCCAGCTGCATTTCCCCACTCAGCTCAATCGCCCACCCATTCCTATCCCTCTCTCCCCTGCTCATTTCCCAACTCACCCACCCCCACCCCACACCCCTGCCTAGTCTGAGGCCTGATGAGGATTCTCCTCTCCCACCTGGGATTTGCCAAACACTTGATCCAGGAAGGATGAGGGTGCAACCTGGGCTGTGATTGAACAGAGACGAGATGGCCACCCATTGCAGGAGGTGAGAGGATGTGGGGATGGGGGTCACGTTTCTTAACTGGTTTGGTTTTGTACCTGAGTGTACAGATTCTCCAGTGGAACCCCTCAGCAATGCAGTGATTTATTGAACACAGCTCGTCTACCTACAGACTCTGTTCCTCCCACCAAACCACCTTAGTTATCCTAATGAATCGGGATAAAAACGTGAGGGGCTGTGTGCGGGTAACTGGGTAAAGTGTACTTGCCATCCTGCTGGGTATAAAGTGAGCCAGCTCAGGAGCAGAAAGGGAGCACTCACAATCAGGCAAAGAGCTCCCTGTGCGTGGAACCTCCTTGATCTTGGAGACAGCTCTGACGTCAGAGGAGCGGCAGCAGCAGCAGAACCAGGAGCCAGAGCAGTGGCCTGCCCAACCCACAGGGCAGGTGAGGCTGGGTGCTTGGGAGGCTGACTCGTGGAGTGATTCTGGGCACTTAAGTTTAGGCAGCTGGGTTTTGCTGGGCGCCTTTGGGTTGAGGCTGACAGCGTAGTCAGCACAAGCAGTGTGCCCTGTAGGCATTTATTTGGCAGCCTTAGAAGAGCTCTGTACCACCCTGTCTGAGCAGGGCAGAGGCCAACCCAAGAGGCTGAGGGCCCGAGAGAGGCAGCTGGCTTGTGTGCACCACAGAGAAGAAACTGTCCTGACTCCTGAGCAGTTCTCACCAGAACTGTCACCTTCTGAGTTCCTTACTAAGTCCCACAATCTTAATCCCATGCAGCCATTGCAAAGAGTTAGTTATCACCCTGTTACAGAAGTGGAGTACCATGGGAGGGGCGATTGGTGGCAGAATGGGATAACAAAGGGGTGGAGGGTGGAGGCACCTTGTGGCAATCAGCCTTGGAGCAGGAGGTGTTGCTCAGATAGCCAGCAGTGGGTGGCTCACACCATGTCCGACCCTTGCACCGAGAGTCACCATCCTAGCCCTCTACATTTGAACCTGACTGCCGAGAGGGGAGCTACCGTCTAGATCACTGAAGGAAGGTTTCAAGGCTGCTGCTCGAATGCCGGGCTGTGTGCTGTTCAGGATACATCACAGGTTTCCAGTTGCTTGCTCTTGTTCATTTCTCATCTCGCTAACCTTGCCCTGGTCCACCCACCCAAATGTTACCCACGCTGCAAGACACCGCCCCACCACTGAAATCACATGACCACAAAGCCTTCTGAGCACATCTGGGCTGCACTCTGAACTTCACTAAGAAAGCCCTTGCTCTCTGGGCCAGCGAGTTGGCTTGCAATTGCTCCAGGTGTGGCAGCACCGCTAACCTCCCTCTGGCCAGAGAGCATGTGTTTTACCGTTTGTATCTCCCACTGTATCTTGCCCAGAACCAGGCAAACACCACACACTTAAAAAAAGAAAATGAAAAACATGTCTGAAATGGACGGGTGGGCAGGGAGTGGAGTGGAGAAGGAGGGTAGATGCCAGCTAACTGCCTATGGGTTTCGATGGAGCCCCAAAGCCAGGCTGCATAGTGGGTGGGGTGGCTCCTTCTGCAAGCTGATAGATTCATTCCTCCTTTTTCCAAAGACATGACTTACAGAACGAGCCCATTTGTGGGATCAGAATCTTAGCTGGGGACACTGGGAGCCCGAGGCGGGCTGTGCTCACTGGAAAGCTCCTTCAGTGGGCACTCGGTTTGGCTAGGCTGGGATGCAGTTCCCTCCCCACTTCCGCTGTGAGGCTGAAGGCTGGTCATCCCACGCAGGACCTAAGGCCTGTGCTCTGGAGGGAGAGGGAGGACAGTCCTGTAATTACCAAGACACTGGGGCTCCACCCCAAGCCATCAGGCAACCACCAAGCCAACAGTCACGTGTGTCTTGTGAGACGAGGCCGGGGAGCAGAGGTGAACCAAAAGAGGCAGTCGCAGGGGACAGCTACTGCAAAAGGCCAACCTCCCCTCAGAGTGACTATGTGAAAGCAGAACCCAAACGTTCAGTCATCTGACAATGGCCCATTTCAGGGACAAACAACAACAACAGAAAAAGCCCACTGAAAAGCACTGGGACTTCCCCCCTCCTCATCTGCTTCTACCTGGAAACAGGCAACTTCCCTGTCAGGGATGGCCAGACAGAACCGACTTGAATAGGAACTGCCTGGGTGGTAAGAACACATCCTGTCCCCCAAGGGAGATGACAGTGATAAACCGAAACAGAGGCGGTGGAATGCTTCCCTCCTCTGAGCTGAACCACTGGGGAGCCCTTTCTCCTGGACTATACCAGCTTCCCTCGTCACCTTCCTGTGTATGCCTTCTCACTAGCCGACAGACACGGCGGAGCCCTGGCTCTGCAGTCGTGGGCACGGTCTGCCATTAGGAATCTGGAAGCAGGCGCCATTAACCTTAGCAGCCCATGACTGGCGCGCTGAACTGCTCAGGTGATGAGGGTAAGGCTTGCCTTGACAGCTGACAGAAACCCTTGGGGATGATGCGGCCATGAATGGAGATGGGGAAAGGACAGGGTCAATGTGAGGTCAAAGAGCTCAGGAATAAAGTAAAACAAAACACACAGTTTCTATCTGGGGCGACTCTGAAATCAAGCTCCTAAACTTTACAGGGATGTGAGCCATGGCTTCCCCTCCCAAAGGCCGCCTGCCAGTTTTTGTCCCATCCTCTTGGGAGAATGCACACCCTCCTTTCTCTCTGGCTCCCCTGGAAGCTATACCTAAGCAGCAGCCACTCTGCGCTCCCCTCCTCGGGGAACTCCGCCTCTTCCTGCACCCTCTCAGACCTCCCCTCAAGGTCGCATGAAGCCTCCGACTCAGCTCAATGACAGCCCCCGCCCGGCCCCTCCCCTCCCCTCCCTTGAACCTGCTCATCTTCCACACCACTTCCAATCCAGTGGGCACAAACCTCAGCTGCCTTTGAGGTGAGTCTCCATACCGAGAAAGACAAATATCAAAAATAAAACTTCTGAAAAAGAAACAGTGTTGAGACTTCTTCCAGTTTTCTGAGGCGCTCGCCCAGTTCCAAGAGACTGCAGGGGCTGGATGTGAAAGGTGCTGTCCGCGTTCCGAGGATGGGCTTGTGTGCTTCTGAGCCCCCAGGGCTACGGAGGGACCCACGCTCTGCACAGAGAATCCCGGCCCTTCCTGTCCCCTGTGTCTTCCTCACTCGTCTGCACAGCACCCTCATCTGGTTCTTCAAAACTGGAGCTTGGTAACCAGACGCCTAGATAAAAAAAGGAAATTCTAATTGTGCAACAGAACCCAAACGGAGTACAGGATCAGTCTGGTCTCCAGAGGCAGAGAAGCTACAGCTCAAAAGGAGAATGGAGCCTGGAGGATGGGCCCACAGCGCAACCGCACATGCTGCAGTTGGGTGGGGCTGTGACACTGGCCTGCCAAGGGCCTGAGCAGTCTACTACTTCGACACCAAAAAAGGGTTGTGGATGACAAATGCACCCTGCCCCACTGCCTACTTTCTCGTTCCCTCTCCATCACGCCTTCATCTTCCACTCACCATTTTCCACATCTTCCTTGAGACCCACCTACTCTAAAAGAACTAAAAAGGACTGGATTAACCATGTGTGCACCTGGCTACAAAAAATCTCTAGGTCTCTGTAGCTTCTGACTACTACATAGGGTTGAGCTATGGGGAAGTTTCAAAAAGCTCATGCAAAAAAATGAAATGAAAAGATGAGATTGTTCAACAAACCTGCTACAGCCCCTCGGATAATCACAGACCAGTGCAGCTTCTACCGTCAGAGGTCAGACAGGCACTGTTCTGGTCCTCTGTAGCCCTGACATGAGTTTCCCAGGAAACAGCAACCATGGCCCAAAGGTGGCCTTTCAGAACTCTTCTACTCCCAGCCTGATCAGCAAGAAGTGTTAACGGCCAAATACCATACTTTAAAAGATGCCTTCCATCGGGAAGCAACCGTTCTTTTTGTTCAAGGGACCCTAGGGTCGAAATGGGGTAGGGTGGAAACTGCCCCTATGCAACAATCCCAATGATACAGCAACAAGGGACCCTGGGACTGCCATCCAATCCTTGCCAATACACAGCCTGTACCCTGATCAAAGCACGCCCTCCCTCCCTTCTCCCTATGTAGAGGCCCCTGCCAAGAATGCTGTCCCTACACCTTCTCTTGCTGGTCCCTGGGTGTTCGTATCAGTTGAACTGCCTCCCCTCCACGGGGGCCTTCCCTCAGCACCTGAACTCTAGTACACCATGAGTCAACAGGTTCACCCAGTTTTACCTTCCTCATCACACACACACCAAAATGATCCCAATCACTCAGTCGTGCCACTCCCTAAAGGAGCAGCAGCCTCGCCTGTTCCGTACTCTATGACCAACGCTCACTGGGTCCTTCACAGACACCTGCTTCATGAACAAGAAACTGAGGAGCTCACGTCACTCTGGGGTGTCTCTGTTAAAAATACCCTCTCCTCCAGGTGGATGGAAACCTTGGGGTTCTTCTAGCACAACTCCTAAAGCAGCAGGGTGTGGAGGGAGCCTGAGGACACTCGAGGGCAAGCAGACCTCCCTTCCCTGACCTTCCCACCTAATCTCAACTTGAAGTCAACAAGCAGGAAGGCGCTCCTGGACTTAAATCCTCACAGCACTGAAGTTTTAGGAATCACTTCCGAGGGCACACAATTTGCATAGAACAGAAGCTATGATGAGAGCTTGAGCAACCAGCCCCGGTCCTTTCAAGCTCTGCAGTCTCCCAGAGTGGCCATGTCTTGACTGACCAATCCCCAGCAGCCTTCTCACTAGAGTTCCACAGGGAGAGGTGAGTCCCACAGGAGGCGCACGCATGGGTCATTTAGCATGGCCGAGAAGACATGAACAGGCAGGAGACTGAGGCTCTCCTGTCCTTCTCAAGCCACCCAAGCCTCCCACCCATTCGTTAGTTTTGCACGAGGGGTGGGAGTGGGGACGAAAGGTTAGAAGTGAAGAAATATTCAGAACCTAAAAGGCCCTTCGGTCAGAATGGGAGTCGGGCACACTGGCAGGTACGGACTGGCCCATGGGGTCTGGGCCGCAACCCCTACTGCCAGAAGCACATAACCATCTGGCTGTTCAGTCCTAGCTCACCTCTGGCCAGTATTCCCCTTAATGCCATGCTATTCCAAGTTATTTCATGGGAAAGTTACGTCAGTCAGCAGTGGGATGGGAGAGTAGCTTCAGAGATAAAGGAGTTCCTTAGTTAATCCTTTTATTCCCTTTCATTCCCATGACTCCCTTTTATTCTACTTTCAAAGGCCCAAATGCAACACTTGATTTAAACAGAAGAGCAAATGCAGCGTTCCTAGTTGCGGATGGGACGTGGTGAGCTCTCTCACCGGTGTGCAGGCTCACTGCAACAAGAGACATGCGTGCTTGGGGCTGCACAGCCGCTGTCTTCCACTGTGCAGTCCTGTGCGGCGTCAGGCACCAGGCAGAGGGAAGGTGAGAGAGGCTGCCAGCCGAGGGACGTGAGTGTCCTCTGCATGCTTCCCTCCCCCGCAGCCCCCGTGACCACTATTAGCCTGCACATTCCTGGTAAACATTCTTTAGGCTCCCTCCCAGTTAGCCTAGGGGTCCTGTGGATGTTTCTATTAGCTGTCATCCAAGCAATTCCGACTCCTGGCAAGCCCAGGCGTGTGGAGGAGAACTGCTCCCTAGGTGGTCGGGGCTGGGCACTCTGGAAGCTGACCGCCAGGCCTTTCTTTCAACAAGGGGCCTCTAGGTGTGTTCAAGCTGCCAGTGTTTGGCACTAAATCAAGGGCTGTACTGCACCATCCACAGACCCACGTGCCCTGCAAGGAGCTCCACGCGTGCGGTCAGACTGCTCGTCAGGTGGCACATATGTGGATCGGTCTGCACACAGGCGGGAGGCGGGGAGGGAGAACTCAGTGCAGGATCACAGGCAAGAAGAGATTTCACTTGACAGAAAAGGCATACGTACCCTTGGTGGTGACCATCAGGGGCCCCTCGCTACGTGGAGGGTTCCACTTCCTGCTTCTGTTTGGAAATGAGCTGCGCCTCCTTTAGAGACAGGTACACCTCTTCCTGAGGATCATAGTAGTAGAACTTTCGGATATACGAGATCAGAGGTCTGGGGGAGGGGGGGGATGGACACAGTTAGTTGTATGGATTATAAAAGACACACCTGCCTCCTTTGTTCAGCCTTGCCTTCTTCAGGGCCTCCAGCTATGAATCCCATTGCTTTTTGCCTTTCACTGACTTCCTAGAGCTCTCCCTCAGCCTTCTCGCTTCCATGCCACTCTCCATAAAGGGAAGGGACCCCAACACAAACACCTTCCTCCCTTCTGGCTGCAAGGTGACAGTTCTAGTTAGGTGCTAAGACACAGGAGAAGAGAAAAGATGCTGTCTGCGAATATTTCACGCCTGCCTGTGCAACTGCCTGGTAAGCCTCACCAGCATTTGTAATAACCCACACCCCTCCCCCTTCCCTTGTCACCCTAATGCCGCCATTGTACTTAGGCAGTGGGAGATCCGGGATGTGATCAATCCGGACGAGCTGTCGAATTCGGAATCTGCAAAGGTGCTGGAGGGATTTGACATTGCTGAATCGGGACACCGGGTAGAGCAGCTGGACTGGAGTTGGCGGCAGTCCTTCAAGAATGAAATGAAGAAAAACATTCAGAAGAAACAATGCAGCTAACTCTGACTTCCGTAGGAAGCGACTCCAGGAAGGTGAGACGGGCTCCTTTGTAGTCAAGCCCCCTACGATGAGCGGATCCCATGTGCAGAAGCACCACTGCCATAGGCCACACTCCATGCACTCTAGCTGCCCGGGATCACTGTCAGCAGCTGCGTGTCTCCGTCCTGAGAACATCCCAATGAATAGTGTCACTCTGGGGACTTCTTGAAGGCAAGTGGCCAATCCCAGGCTCTCAGGGAAGGACAAGAATCAAAAGCATCCTGTTGGGAATGGGGAATGCATCAGTATTCTCAACTGAAGCCCAGGAAAGGCTGGTTAAAGGGGCCCCCACCAAATGCCAACTGAGAAGCTGAAGAGAAGGCAACAGCTGGGATCCAAGTTTACAAGCCTGACTCCTGTCATTTACTTCCTGACAGAACAAGGTTTCGCGGGGAGGGTGATGGTTCCAACTCAGTGACTACGTACGATAGAAGGAAACATTACCCCGTCCTGAACCATCTTCCCAATTGTTATGTTTGGACCCATTGCTGCAGCCACGGTGTCAATCCATCTCGATGAGGGTCGTCCTCGTCTTCAATAACCTTCACTTTACTAAGCATGGCATCCTTTTCCCAGGCCTGGACTCTCCTGATAACACGTCCAAAGTATGTGAGGCAAAGCCTTGCCATCTTCACCTCTCAAGGAGCATGCTGGCTGCATTTCTTCCAAGCTGGGTTTGTTCTTCTGGCAGCTCAGGAACATTCAACACCCCGCACCTGCACCACAATGCCAATGTAGCAAGTCTTCTCTGGTCTTCTTTATTCAGCATCCCACTGTCACACGCCCATGAGGCGATGGAAAAGTCCTTGGCTTGGGTCAGGTGCACAGAAGGGGGTCTAAGTGACACCCTTGCTCTTGACACTTAAAAAGTCTTGTGCCAAAAAAAAAAGTCTTGTGCAGCAGGTTCCCCCAGTGTGATATGGTTTTTGATTTCTTGATTGCTGCTTCCGTGCACACTGACTGTGAATCCAAGCGAGGGGAGATCAATCCTTTCTCCGTTTTATCACGAGGTTACCAATGGTCCAGTTGTGAGAATTCTGCTTTCTTTATATTGAGTACTTGTGATCCAGACTGAAGGCCGCGGTCCTCAATCTTCATCAGCAAGTGCTTCCAGTTCTCCTTGCTTTCAGCAAGCAAGGGTGTGCCGTCTTCACATGAAGAGGCTGTTACTGAGCCTTCCTCCAATGCCGGTGCTACATTCTTCTTCATGTACTCCACGTTCTCAGACTACTTGCTCAGCAGACAGGCTAAGCATGGCGAAAGGATACAACCCTGACACACACCTTTCCTGATTTAAAACCATACGAGATTCCCTTGTTCTGCTCAAAAGACTGCCTCTGGGTCCATCGAGAGATTCCACTCGAGCACAGTGAAGTGTTCTGGAATTTTTCTCAATGTATTCCATAGTTTATGATGCACAAAGCCGAATGCTTTTGCAAAGTCAATAAAGCACAAATTAATATCTTTCTGGCATTCTCAGATTTCAGTCAAGAGTTAATGACAACCTTCGTGCCACATCCTCGGCTGCATCTGGACTACTGTACTACTATCTGGCAGATGGACTATTGTACTACTTTTTTAATCATACTCATTGAAAGTTTATTTACGCATATAATATTAATGATTTGGGCCCCAAAAGTTCCATACTTTGTTGGGTCCCCTTTCTTTGAAACGGGCACAAATATGGATCTCTTCCAGTCAGTTGGCCAGCTGTCTTCTGAACTTCTTAGTATATGCTAGGGAGTGCTTCCAGTGCTTCACCCGCTTACTGGAAGATTCCACTTGGCAGACTGTCATTCGTAGGGCCTTGTTTCTCCCTAAAGCCTTCAGTGCAGCTTGGAATTCCTTCCTTCAGTACCATCAGTTATTGATCACATTGTACCTCTTGAAGTGACTAAATGTCAACATTCCTTTTTGTACAGCCACCTCTTACTCCCCTCCACCAACACCCAAGATTTTAGTTTGGGTTATAAGATCCAGAAGAAAAAAAAAAAGAGCCCCATAAAACTAAAATTAAAACTACCACATGACCCAGCAATTCTCCGTTTAGGTACGTACACAAAAGACTTGAAAGCAGACTCAGAGACGGATACACCAAGGTCCACGAGAGCGTTATTCCCAATAGTCAAAAGATGGAAACTTAAGTGCTAATCAACAGATAAAGGGATAATAAAACATGGTACATAGAATAAAACACTACTCAGCTAGCAGAAGCAGCAGTCTTGATACATGCTACAACATGCATGGTGCTTAAAGATGTTCTACTAAATGAGATAAAGCAGTCCCTAAAGACAGACACTACAAGACTTCACTTAGAATGGTGCAGCATGTTCATGGTTATCAGGTGCAGGGCTCCCCCTTAACTAGGTGTGCACAAGTTGTACTCTTTGGCCACATACGTATTCCATTTGTATGCTGGGTAAATAAGAAGAGGACCTGGACTATACAAAGAACAACGACATCAGAATTGGAAGAAGGCTCCTTGACAGCCTATGAGATACAGATCACACAACCTTGTCTTGCAGAAAGGAAAGAGGATTTGAAGCTTATGAAGTACAAAAAAATATAGCTTTCTGTATGGATATTTCAACTTTTTTTTTTAATCCTCACAATTGGACCAATGATAAATGATAATTAAAAAAAATATTTAAGTTAGCAAGGATTTACCTTGGCTCCACAATCAATGCCCATGATATCAAGTCAAGAAATCAAAAGAGGTATTACACTGGCCAAATTGTTACAAAGGAGCAAAGAAATATCTTCGAGGACCAAGGCGCATCTGTCCAAAAGCTGTGGTATTTTCAACGGTCTCACATGCACGTGAAAGCTCAAGAATGAACAGGGACGAGCAGAGGAGCAACGATGCATTTGGACAGTGGCCCTGGCAAAGAATATGGGCTGTATCATGGGCTGCCAGAAGAATGAATAAATCTATCTTGGAAGCAGTTTCCAATGTGCTTTAAAAATCGATGATCGATCAAGCATACAACTATCCTCTAGTTCTTTAATGCTTCTTCCCCCCACTATCATGACCCCAATTCTACCTTAAAAACCCAGCTAGACCAGAGAATGTACACTGGTACAGATAAGAGCTGGAGACACAGGGAATGCAGGACAGATGAGCCCCTCAGGACCAATCATGAGAGTAGCGATACCAGGAGGGGAAGGAGAAGGTGAGGGGGAGGAAGGGAGAGCCAACCTTAAGGATCTACATATAACCCCTCCCAGGGGGACGGACAAAAGAAAAGTGGGTAAAGGGAGATATCAGTCAGTGTAAGTCATAAAAAAATAATGATTCATAAATTATGAGGTTCGTAAGACAGGGAGGAAGGATGAAAAATGAAAAGCTTTCCTTTCCGGCTCTGGCTGCTGGAGCATTCTACGCCATCACGAATGGCCCCGTAGCCATCTGGACCAGGAAGTCCATGACCAACCACTACTTCAGCGAAGACAAATGGTCATTGACGTCCTTCACCCTGGGAAAGCAACAGTGCCTAAGACAGAAATTGGTGAAAAACTAGCCAAAATGTACAAGACCACACCAGATGTCATTTTTGTATTTGGATTTAGAACCCATTTTGGTGGTGGCAAGACTACTGGCTTCGGCATGATTTACGATTCTTTGGATCATGCAAAGAAAAATGAACCTAAACACAGACTTGCAAGACATGGCCTGTCTGAGAAGAAAAAGACCTCAAGAAAACAGCGCAAGGAACGCAAGAACAGAATGGAGAAGGTCAGGGGACTGCGAAGGCCAACGTGGGTGCTGGCAAAAAGAAAGAATAGAGTCTACAGTGACGTGTGATCTGCACTGGACATGTGGATTTTTCACCAGAGAATTAATAAACTAGAAAATCTTTAAAAAAAAAGAAAAATGAAAAGCTGATACCAAGGTCTCAAGTAGGAAGAAAATGTTCTGAAAATGATGATGGCAACAAATGTACAAATGTGCTTGGCAAAACAGATGTATGTATGGATTGCGATAAGAGCTGTAAGAGCCCCCAATAAAATGATTTAAAAAGAAAAAAAATGGATGATGATGAGATTTCATTGTATATGCTTTGGACATGCTGTCAGGCCCTGGAGAAGGACATCACACTTAGTAAAGGATCAACAAAAGAGGCAGACCCTCAGGGCGTCTCCTCTACACAGTGGCTATGACCAGGGCCCCAAACAGACACAATTAGGAGGCCACCAGACTGGGTTCTGTAGTACGTGGGGTAGCTGTGAGTTGGAACCAACTAGACAGGCCTAACAACAAACACAACAGGCGTGAGAGGAGGGGGAAATGGAGGAGCGCTAATGGTGGTGGGAAAATCAGGAGTAGGATGGTACAGCCAATTACTGTAATTGGCATCAATACTGTGTATACTTATAAAATACATCGAATTGAAAAAAAAAGTTGAATTGGCAAAAATTGTGATAGATATATTTATGACAATAACCGAGAGTTACTGCTGAGGCTGCTTAAAGTACAACCAAAAACCTCATGGGATTCTGTTCTATGGTTTGGAAGTTGAGGGTCAGTTTCATGAGACACCCCAGTTAAATGGGCCAATACGTTTAGTGTTTCTGTTAATCCCTCCTAATTCGCTACATTGTTCCTGGGGTCTTAAAAGCTTGGGTAGGGCCTAAGACACACAACGGATCTCAATTCACCCAGAGCAACAGACGAAGGAGGACAGGCAGGAACAGGAGAAGGAAATGGAATATGTCCTAATTGCTTCCTCGAGCAAACACTTTCTTTTGCCATGAGACCAGAAGTGCTGCCATTACCAAACATTTTGATCAAGACTCTACAGGAGAATCTTGATCCACGGCGGGCAAATGCCTAACAGAATTTCAAATTATAATGGACTCCAAACTTCCTAGAACTATGAAGGTTGGATGAAACCCTGAAACTTTTTCCCTC